AGTTCTCTAAAATGAATAATTGCCATCCGCCATTTCCAGAGAAATTACATACCTAAAATTATCACATTTTGAAAAAATTCGAACGAAATGACTCTTTAAAAATACCTCAATGATGAACAAAATACGGCCTGCTTGACTTGTACTTCCACGCACTTGATAGACATGATAAATTAATAGACAAAAAATTCTGCCCAACCGTTCACTTTCTTATCAATATAATATGTTAATTTAGAGGACTTCAAGTGCTAGTAGTGAAAAAAATAGTATATATACCACGGCAGAGAAGTCTATTATTCCCTTCGCACCTTACACCCCTCGGCGCAAGCGCCTCGAGATGTAATCTTGGTGCTCAGGCAATAATACTGTACTTCTCTACCTTGATATATAATGTACTATTTCGTGCTATATGAAGTCGCAATGAACAATGACCCACAAAATGGAATCGATTTGCTTTAAGTTCCATCCAGATAGAAAAAAATTACTTACAGGATTTAAAACTGCTTCATCCATCTGATGTCAAGGTGATTTTGGTTGATAATGTAATAATTAAATGGCGATAAAGATTTATGAGCTGGAGATCGCTCGAAGCATGTAGCGCACACAAAATAGTGTTTATTTCGCTTGAATATGGCTTTTTTATTATTTGCTTTGGTCAATTGTAAAGCGACATTAATTTGCCTTCGATCAATTCTACTATATAGAAAAAAAACTATTCGTATACCGCTCTCCCGAAATACTGCAACCACTCGAAAGCACACGAATTTAATTACGATATTATATGCAGTTGTAATGTACAATGCCCTTTCACCCGAATTGAAACGCTTGCCCTTAAAATTATTTAAATATCGTATGACATCTTTAATGTTAGACGATTAACGTGCACAAAGCAAATATGGCAATCACAGTAGGCATCACTGTCTATAGGGTAACACTGGTCGGATTATATTTACATTCTGTCAGTTATGGGTTTTTTCGCAGCAATTTTGAGGTTAAGTGGTAGAGCGGAGAAGAGCAGTCCCTCAGTATTGCTCTTCAACCGAACTTCGCCTTTGGGGTTGCAGTCTATTGCATATACGTGCATCTGTATCTTTAAACTGTAAAAATATGTACTACCTAATCGTATTTGTCAACTGCTGCATCACCCAATAAAGCTATATTATTATTATATTTTCCAATGCGAAATTAAAAATGGGCGTACGGCAATGTACTCCGTTTGTTTTTGTAACTCCGTGATTTGGAGTTTTGTTTTAATGCAAGAAATACAATTTACTTTCTTGCGAGTGGAACTGTACGGGAACGATAACGTAAGCGTTTTAAAAACTCACTGCAGCTGAGATTTAATTAACTATTCATGTTTAAAAAATAGTGTTTGTTTAGATTTTCGTAGAAATGTCTGAGAAAGACGCGACACCTTTAACTTTTTGACTTACCGCGATCTCGTTTTAGTAACCGCAAACTTAGAGGACGACTTCACTGCTGCCTGGTTCTATCTATCTGCTTTCTCTTTTAGTTTGCTATTTATAACCTGCCGAGTAGGAAACCTGAAACGGACCCAACGCAATTCTCGGGACCTCGTCCCCTTTTCAGCTAAGCCGAAAGTGCCGATTCTTATCTACTATTAATTTTCAGCTTGGCAAATGAACACTACCGAATCCAAACGTGTCGCTGCAACTTGGTAAAAACCCACGCATTCTAAATGCGCAAAAGCTTAATGTAATTTACCCACTGTACACGATCGTGTCCATTCCCATCCTCGTAATGTGAAGCGATTCATTTCTTCGTTAATTTCAATGCCTTTTGGGGTTCTTTTTGCGCTGGTTCGTCCCGTCCATGAACGGGTGAGAAGCAGGTACAAAGGGCTATTCTCGTGCTCGTTTTCAACTCATTGCATGATGAACTCCGAATGTTCTTCACCATATTTATTTAAAATATAGAACGACTGGATAGATACTTTGAAAAAGGTAATGATCGCCGAATAGGTAAATCCTACAGCACACGCAACCATTATTTGAATACATTCTGCAACTTGGAAATGCGAACCCACAAATTAAGGTATGTAACCTCTTCCTTGAAGGAACCGACTGAGTCCAATGTGATAGGCATGATGGTTGCTTATGCTGCAGAGTATAAGTATTAAGCGATTACTTTTGTCGATGACCGTACATATGACGACACTCTTCAAAATATTTGTATATAAGTAAATATGCACCTGCGAGTTGTTTATAATAATTATGAGCAACCAGCAACACCCACTCAAAATTTCATTCAAATATCCTGAAAAATAAAAACTCGAATTGCGCATTGTAACCGGCTGGTTACTTTTCAATTCTTCCTACCGTTTCTTTCTCAAGCTACTTTTTGGGGTGGTTCTTCTTACATAAAACAATTGTTGTTGGGCTCCGGCTAACATTCAGTTGATGGTCTTTTCTTGCCTCGAGGAAATTGGAAAGGATAAATGAATAAAAACCAATAATCTTTATTAAAACCTATTTCGTTCTATTTTCTTAGAAATTAGCCTTTAATCTGTAAGTAACACATGTTAAGAGAAATGGGGATTGAGGCGATTCCTGTAAGAGCAGGGTTAACTCATTCATTCACAAAATTCACTGCACAAAAAGGAAAATCTATGTTTATTGTATTGGTATACAATTAGATCAAAAATCAAACTGAAATCGATAAATTCCTTTTGATGCAATCATCTCATACATTGACATTCGCACTTGAGAGTCATAGTTATATTTAGACTTAACATTTTAATTACCTACGTAAAATGAACTTTAAATCTAAGCTGTACAGGAATACTGTTACAGCATGCGCTAAATACATTTTTGATTCGGTATTAGTTTTACTTTTACGGGAACCTTCCTAATTTCAATCAAATATCTTAAAAAATAAAACAAATCGGGTTGTAGATGCGCAAAACAAATTTTTCGATCGGCAGCAGTTTTACTTTCATTTGAGGTGTCTACTTACAAAATTTCATGCAATTCGATTAATAACTAACGGAGATGTCAAAAGGGCCTTCCTTATTTTTTTAGCGCATTTTCCAACGAAGTTGAGTGCGCTATTGCAACCACTTTCTCTGTCCGTCCGTCTGTCCAAGGCCTTAACTACTCCTACAGTTTTCGAGATATTAAGCAGACTGCGCAATGTCAATTTACTTATTTATTGATATATCTTATTGAAATTTTAACCTCAGATACTTCTGGTGAAGGCAAATATATCGCATATAGTAAAAATCAGTTGTGCGCATGCGCAATGGCATCTTTCTTATTTATGGGGGTATTTCTTTGAAATTTTACCCAAAGATGCTTTTAGCTAGACTTTATGGATTCTGGATTACGATAGAAGGGTGAACAGGGTCCACGCGTACTTAGGCCTCAAATTCGGGCCCTTTGTACTACCTCCCTGACTATGGTCGCCCGACCCCTCAACTTCACTCAAGCCATCCCACACGTGAGATGAACCTTAGGACGCTGGAAGGGGAGGCGGCTCTAATCGTAGCCATGTCCGGCCAGGATTCCCCCAACATGGATCGTCTCAGTTGGACTAGAGCGGGACATTCACAGAGTATGTGGTGTCCCGTCTCGTCGTCGGTGTAACATTCTCTACAGTGCCCAGAAGGTATGCCCACGAATAACCTCAGGGACAAACGTATCGCATATTGTAAACATCAGATTAATGTGCGCATGCGCAGGCTGCGCATTGGCAACTTTCTTATTTATGGAGATATTTCTTTGAAATTTTAACCAAAATTGCTTTTAGTGTAAGCAAACGTATCGCATATTGTAAACATCAGATTAATGCGGACATGCGCAGGATGCGCAATATCAACTGTTATTTATCGAGATATCTTTTTGAAATTTTAATCATAGATGCCTCTATTAAAGGTAAATACTGATATTGCAAAAATTAGATGTGCGCATACGCAGTCAGTGCCAACTTCTTTATTTATCAAGATATTTCATTGAAATTTTAACCATTGATGCTTCTAATAAAGAAAAACATATCACATGTAGTAAAAATCGAGAACTACTCAAATGTCATTAGGAAAAGTAAACATATCGCACATAGGAAAAATCAAATCCACGCATGCGCAGACTGCAAAATGCCAACTTTTTTACTTATGAAAATTTCTATCTAAAGTTTAACCATAGACGCTTCTAGTAAAAACAAACATCGCATTGCTACCTATATAGAATAAATTAAACTCGAAATTAAATGTGCTCATGCGCGAACTGCGCAACGCCGACTTTTTTGTTTATGGAGTGAAATTTTAACCATATATGCCTCTAGTAAAGAAAATCACAGCGCACAGGAAAATACGCTGCAGTTATACTCGCCTTAGGGTGAAAACCTTTTTACTTGTTTTGACCTACATTGCCAATTCACGAACTCCACTGATGATTGATAAAGAATCCACCTGCAAAATTTCATAATAATCAGTTCATCCGTTCTCTTTTAAATCGATGGACATGAAGCAATCGAGCGAGCAAGCGTTCGAAGGACGGACGATTGGGAGAAAGCATAACCGTCTCGTTTAAAACTCAACGCTAATAACACCCTATAACTTGTTTAAGAACAAGATACAAACATACACAGATCTTACCTGCATGTATCTGGTACAGGATGTTGCTTTTAACCTATAGAAACCTCAGAAGTCATGAATATACATATAGGTATACATATATATGTTGTGATCTTCAAGATACGTTTTATTTATCTAACTGCCAAAAGAAGTTCAATGTTACGTACATTTGGAGTACTATTTTTTAGATGGCAGGACCAATGTTTTAATGTGAAAGTAATTTCATTTATCCAAAATTTGGATTTGGATTTAATTTCAGTTACCTACTTGGAAAGGTTGATTTAGTGAAAGTGATCAGTGGTCCTTTGCACATTTTACTATGATGTGTGCTTTTGTCATATGTTTCGACGGGATGGACAAATTTTTTTACTTTTCGGTTGAGATTGTAGGATTGGAAGTAAATAAGAAATGCACTTTCTTAGTTTATTTATAATTACAAAAATGTTTATTCTACAATTTGCCATACCTACACAATACATGTGCATTACACGAGTACATCTTGAATTTTGAGCAATTAATTACTACTAAACAGCATACCCTGATGGGAATGTGATATGTAATTTTTTAATTTATATGTACAATTTCAGCTTAGATTACTTAATTTAAAAAATGTACACTTACATTAATATATGAGCTACGTCTATATCTACAAATGTAAGTAAAAAAATAAAGATGAAGATCACAGACGTTTTGTTTAAACACTGAGCCCTACTTAGCGCACTTGCTTGACAACTCATGTCCTCCGGGGGTAATTGCACAATGGGCTTCCTAATATTTGAAGTAGCGTCAACACAAGTTGTTTGTTTTAGTAGTTCATTCATGCGTATAGCTGCTTCAATTGGCGCATTATGAGACTGAAGTGTCTCTCTGGCCCATCTTCGAAGCCAGTGACCCAACCAGGCGAGATGGCAACCGCAAATAAAGTTATTTTCCGAAATTACGAGGCCACCTGAAAATTTACATTGTGATATTAGAACAGTAATGTACCTATGTCATAGATTTTATAGGTTATATTCGTTATTATTATTATTATATAGCATATATTCCATGAAAATTTCACAGAAACTGAAATGCATAAAAAGCGTGATCGTTTCTAATGACATTAGGTAAATAAAATTGTCTAAATCAACCGCAAAGAAATACGTTAACTAAAGGGGATGGTGTCGTACAATGGAACAATATTACTTATTTAACGAATCTACTTTCGGATCTGAGAGGAACTGTCACCTCACCTGTTTAATATACATTAAACAGGAGCCCTTTTGGACGTAGCCGAAACCGGAACAACAAGTTTTAATAATTTAATTTTAGCTGAGAAGTGAAATTCAATTAAACCCTTGTGTGTAAAGAAATAAGAAATAATTCACAATTTCAGAAAATCATTGATCTTAGGGGTAGAGAAACAATCTGAACAATTACTCTTAATTAAAATACACCATTGAGAGGCGGTATATCGTCAAATTCGTGATTTTGGAAAGAATCTCTGAAGAACGATTAGAAAACAAAATATCGAGTGAACATGGTTTATTATAGTATTATCTCGAGTATTATAGTATAACCGTTAAGTGAAAGATCCTTGACTCAACTGTATAACGCTATAAAAAAATCATTTTTTCTACAATCGATAACCAAAGTAGGCATTTGCGCTCGTATTTGACAACGCAAACGTCATCTTTTTCGAGGAATGTCACTTTGTCTCTTATAAACGACAAAATAAAACAAGTACCTATAAATTGTGCACAACTTTTGTGCAGATAAAGCGCATTTTTTTTAGCCGAAATAGCTTTTGTTTTTACATCACCAATGGATATACTTCTTGCAGATCGCTCTTTGTGAGTACCCTCTTCCGACAATTCGTTCTTGAGGTATAAGGGAATATACCCGATCACGATAAGAGGACCAGGAGGAGAGCATGGTTGGTAGAAATCAATTCCTTTCATTGGGACCTTCCATTAGAGTACCATGAAGGATAAAACTAGTTCTCTCCCCCGCCCTCCCCCTCCACCCGGTACCAATTTGAATACCATGAAGGGTAGAACATGTGTTTACCCCCCCCCCCTCCTAAAGTTTAACTTACCACCATTAAAGGCATGCGTATGCAAAATCTGAGACCAATGTGTTGCCGTATGTAAAAGCTATGCACGTTTTACTTTCAAAAACAGCATCTCAGGAAATAATTCGTGGGGGGGGGGGAGCCCCTTTTAGACAGCGAAATTTGATGGCCGTCTGGCACACCTTCAAGGTATAGGCTACCTACTGCAAAAAATTCCAGGACTCTAGGACCATTCTCCTAGAAGTAGTTCAAAACGATAGAAGTGGGTCCGGGCGGACGGACGGGCGGACAAAACGCATAAAATAGCACATTTTTTTTATTCTTACAAAATGTGCTAAAAAACGCTCGCTCTCCCAATTAATAACTATAAATCAAATATGCATTGCTCAGAGTATCCAATGACAACGAGTAAATGACATCTTTCATTTGGGCATAAGATTAAAATAATCTATGATTTGAGTGAAAAATTAAAATTTTTGGAAATATGTGAACTGCTCGATTGTAGAAAAAATCTTGTGTGTAATTCGAGCGCAAATTGATTGTCGATATCAAGAGATTGTCGCGGCAACTTTCTCTTTCAATCGACAATATATCATTTTGCGCTCTATTAAACCACACTAAACCTTTGAATATAAATATGTGTTTATGTTGTTTTCAAGTTACCTCTCAATCGCAATGGTGGTACCTAGTTTACAAGAGAGGGATAATAAATAAATAAATAAATATGTCAATGGTTCACGTCTACATTGCGACACGTCAAATTTGACAACTGTTTGCTACCGTTTTCATTATTTTATCGCGCCTTGCTACATTAGCCTATAAAAAATCCATTAATGCAATACCGACCCATTATTGAAGCATAACTTCCGAAAGTCTCATTGCGATATCTTGTGCCAAAAGCTCTATAAGCTAAAAATGCTATCGGGTTTACCAAGAAAAAGTAAGCAACTTATTTCTAATCTTATTTGTTATATTGCACTATCAGTCCGTTTTTTAGATGGGTATGTAAAAAATATGCAATCTGAAACTGGGCGCCAATGGGTCTTTTTGGATGAAACGGGGGTATTTGAAAATGTAACAATATGTAGTCATGGCAACACGACAATGCAAAATGCGTAAGAAAAATTAAACGCGACGGATGTAGGTAGCATACTGGTATTGATGAGAACAATATCATCTTAGAACTATTTAAGATACTGTGGTTTTACGTGCCGGAAACATTAATGGTTTTATTACTAGAGCATCTTTAAACTTTGCTTCAAAGAGGAACCTTAGTGCTTCGAGAACCATTTGCTACCAAATTTAGAAGAACCATCGCTTATTATTATGAACAATTCCAGTTATCACAGTAGCTTACTGGAAAACTTGCCAAATTCTTCCTGGATTAAAGCACAACTACCTATACAGGCATGGCTACGGCACAGTTTCCAAATGATGCATTAAAAGTGGAACTGCTGGAGATTATTGCAAGGTTTGATTCTTTAAATTCCATGCAGCGTGGTTTATTCGTAGTAATACTTTTAGTTTCGGGATTAAAAATTTGTTATTTCAGAAACCAACCTTCAAAAGGGTATGCTGCTGGTGAGATGGCATTACAAAATGGACATGGACGGTTGCCTCCCTACCATTGCGTTTTCAATGCCATCTAAAACATATGGGAAATTTGCATACAACATTATAACATTGGTGAGAAAAGTTATGGCAGAGAAAATTGTTAAGATATTTGGCAAGAAGGCAGTAACACCTGACAAGATTTAGCCCCTCTAATATTTAATTTGGAAAATGATTCATATGAAAATGATATTTTTGTAACTTGTGATTCAGATTAATGTTTTCCGGTTTACTCAGATATCAACATCAAGATATGAAGTCAAGGTCAAGGATGTTTTAAAAGTCACGGAAAGATCTGGAAAGGAATCAATCGATGTGGTTCGATTTACGCACAAAATTATGAGCTTTTAATAAATCTCCTTTCCCATTTGTGTATAAAAAGAACCGCCCGTTTTAACACCGACTGCTGCCCAGATTCGAAAGTGCCGACAGTGACATGTGACATGAAAAAATAACGATGGTACTGCGCACGGTCCGTATACTAAACGGTTGCCTCAGTCACTGCAGTTTATGGGCGCGGAGAGAGAGGGGAACTTCCCGCCAGTGACGTACTCTCGCCCGCCGTAGAATTTTCTGATGTTTCTGTACGCTTGACGCGAGCTTACAATGAGTTTCTGGATAGCTGTAAATAATTTTCATTGCCTACACTCGGTTTTACATTCAATTAGAGAAATTTAGAGTGGTGTTACGTCTGAATCTCACTAACAATGAGAAAAAAACTTCAAATTGCTTGATTGTAATGTTATACAATGCCAAGAAAGGTTTCTCAGTTATGAAGGAACTAAATTTCTGTAAAATCATATTTTTAAGGACTACCTATAATTACCAAATCTATTTCAGATTGCTGGAAAAAGGAGTGTTGGTAAACGCTGAATTATAGACTATAGGCAGCTGTAAAAGTCAAGAAGCGAAAAACAAAATGGTCATGGAAAAAAATCAAAAGCCGTCCAGCCGCTTAGGAGTTCAGTCACACACATCATTACCTACAGAAGAATTTTATATATCAAGATAATTATTATGCATGTAATACTAAATTATAAACCTTTCGATTCCATATGTAAAACTTACTGGTTTTATTGGTACCTCAACGTAAGTATAGCAAACGTCAACGATCGTACGTATGCACAGGCCACTGTGGAAATGTCAACGAAATAAACTACTTTTGATTGTTGCTTAAAATATCATTACAATAACAAAAAAAATATGCAAAAATGAACTCTTTTTGCTATTAGAATTATGACCAAATGCATAATTATAATACATGAGAATTGTGTGGTGGGCGGTGCTTACTGCGGGTTGAAGTACGTCACAATTGGCAGCGCGTTTTATTGGTTGTTTGGAAGTGGGGCAATCGTTTAGTATACGGACCGTGGGTACTGCGGGCGTTCTTATTAGGTACCAAAAAACAATTAAAATAATTTTTTTTTATCCTATACAAGGAGAAACTTATATTTTCTCGCCTGTGTGAGGACGCGAAAGAAGACAATTGCACGCATGGAGCGAGAAAATTCAATTTTGTCGGCTAGGCGAGAAAAAAATACGCCTTATGTAAGCTAGATGGCGCGGTTGTAATAAAATGTCAAAGAAGATTATTTCTTTTTAATCAAATAAGAAACATAAAATCGTCAACACTGATTTAATAATTAAATTTACCCTATGTTCACTTTATTTTACTGAATTCAAGAATTTATTTAATTACCGCGAACCTCTATAATTATACCTATCAATGTTTCGTGAATTTGAATACTTTCCCAACATCACGTGACCAATTCAGACGTTTCAAACTTAAGTCATAATCTTCCATTTACTTTCAATAACGAGCATCTGTGTCAATACATTTAACACCAAGATGTATGTACTTTGCACTGTAAGTAGAACACCGCTTATCCGCAATAAGTAGCATTTTAACATACGAGACTACCCCGAAGTTAAGTGTCACAAATGTGTCCAGTGTGACTGTACGGAATGAATAAATCTATTTATAAAACACATTTTTTTAAAATACAAGATCATCAAGGATTTAAAGTGTGCCCATTGCGCGTTCGTCACCAAGCATAAATCCAGTCTTAAAAGCATCTAACATTTGACAAGACATGGATCCTGCCAAGGATTTAAAATGTAACCGGTGTGATTTTCTCCCTGAAAACACACATTCAATTTTTAAAACACATTTGTTAATACACAAGACCAGTAATAATTTCAAATGCGCCTGGTATTAATTACAACCCCTTAAATCCCGTTATTTTCTAAGGAAATAATCACGCGCCAGTGAAATGCCGGAAATG